AAATCAGGCCATCACCTCAAAATTACAGAAACACTGAACGGAGTGATCAGTCCCCAATCAACACACATTTTTAGTTTATCAACGGAAAACACGCAGCTCCTTCCTGTCAACCCTCAAAATTCAATACTGAAAAAGCATCAAAAGAGTTGAACTTCCATGCTAAGAACGATGTGATCAAAGGTATGTTTCACTGGAATCCTGATAAGGCTTTCGGGCTTCATAATTAAACGAAGGCAATCGTAATAATGTATCTTTAAAGGAGGATTACGATAAATTCAGAGGTCGAAGAATCTGTAATGTATAATTCTCAGCGAAAACGCAGTTGGGCTCCCTAAGGCGCGTTTTTTGGCGTAGGGTATGTCTAGCAGCCTAGCAGTGCCATACCCTACGCCCTGTCGCGCGGCTCGCGACGCTGCTCTCTTTCCGACTGATTGTGAGACCCCTTTCGCCGTCTGACTCTAGTCGCGGACACTAGCGGCTCAGCACAGAGACAGAGGTGAAGCGTTCTCGTTTATTACTTCAGCACCGCTGAGGCTCGTATCATGCGAAATCCAACAGGCAAAAAATGGGTCCTTGGAATCTGGGCGGGTTTTCTCAGTTTTTTCTCTATGTCTGTACCACTGACCACTTTAACTTGAATTTTAAATGGGCTGCTTTTTATGAAATCCGCACTCAGTATAAGATCACTTTTATGTCTAAGTATTTTTCATTTACACAAGTTGTTCTGATTATACACTTTCAGCGCTAACAACTTTGAGCAACTCATCACAGCCAATTCACTCGTCTGGATCCGTTGCAAAAATCTTACTATATGGCTCAAAAGGATGGATTGGACGTCAGTTCACTCAAATGCTCCAGGAGAAGAATATCACTTACGTGGAAGCTACAACGAGACCCGGATCCGACCCAGATGATGTCATACGGGAAGAAATCGTCCGAGTGGCTCCCAGCCATGTTATCTCGAATGATAGGACGAACACAAGGCGAAGGTATACATTTTTTGAGATGAAAACATTTAAAAACGTGGCAGCGCAAGGTGAGCAGTCGGTGTTTCACACCATGAATGAGTCGTTTCGGGGTACCATATGCTGGTGGGCGTGGTTGCGTAGGAGGCAGGGCTTGCGCGGTCACCTGTACCGGATATCGTGAGAACTGTATTACCCAAACCACGATTGCTGTTACCATTACCACTTAAAAGCGCTTGCTTTTAGGCAACAACTCCATAACATTCTTGGAAGGTGGGCCAGATAAACTGAAGCTGAACATGCGTGACAATCTCTACGCGCCGTGGATATTGGCTAGTCTATGCGAAAAGATGAACATACATTACACCTATCTCGGGACAGGTTGTCTATTCAAATATGACGCCCAGCATCAAATGGACCATGGCCACTTGAATATACCGGTATGATCTCTGCAAAATACAGTAGTACTAGCTTTTAATAATCTTCATTATGCTGTTTATTATTTTATCTATCTATCATATATTGATATCTTCATTCTTAATATACTGAATTATTCTGCTCTTCCTATTTGGCAGTCTCCGCGTCTTTTGTAAGCATCACCAAATATGCTTGACGCTACCATCCTTAGATCCGACATATTTCGGACCGGCCCTAAAAGAATTTGCGCGTAAATATTCTCTGGCAAGCTATTCTAACAAGATAATCAGCTTAGATCCGCGAAATACACACAAAGTTGCACACAAAGCACAACACGCATTCGGTTTCTGAAGAGAAACAAACGTACAAAAACTACACGTTATGGACCATCGAAGGACCAGGAGGCAGAGCCAGGCGAGGCATGGAAAGAAGACGGCGTTTGGCCGGCTACGTACCAGGCGACGCAATGAGAGAATCGGGTTAAAGCGCGCGATTTCGGAGAGTGGAGACAAATCGATCGATGGAATAGGATGGAGTAGAAGTGTAAGATGTGAATGCAACGAAGCAGAAGGCCAGAAAGAGCTTCTAGTGAATGCACTCCAAGAACCAAGTTTGAGCATCCCCGTCGCCAGCATTCGTGAAAGACGTCCGTGGGCAATTCGAACGCGTAGCAGCCTTTTCGAGTTTTCGAATTTCTAATCAAAACGAAAGCAATACTTCAGTTTCTTTTCACTATTATCGTGGATAATGAGTCTCAAGCCAGTGATTTATGGCTGAAAAAAATCATGATTTTTCCGCGCAAGATTCCTTTAAGAAGTGA